TCCCTTCCCCACCTCAGCAACTCGGGGACACAGAGTCCTCGGATCAGCCTCTAGGCTTTGGCCTGAACCCAGAGGCCCAAGGGAGTATGCAGTAGGAACGGTCAGTCTGACTGACTTCTATGGTTGTCTTCATTTCCCAAAGCTGGGTCCTCCTGCCCTGGCCTAGGATTTACTGCTTCTACAAGCTTAGAAGTCGTCCCTGGTCCTTTACCATAGGAAGTGAAGCTTTATCACAGAGAAGAGAGAACCAAGCATGTCAGAAAGGAAAGTATTCTCTTAAAGATGGTACAATTACTTCAACAAAGTTTGGTGGTCATCTACCCAGAGTATCTCTCAGAAATAGGACTCTTGGCAGAGAGGCCTCTTTGCTTTCTCTTTGCTTTTTTCTTCCCTTTTTCCTTTTCTCTTTCTCTTACACCCCCTCCCTTTCTTTTTTGATTTTAGTTTGAGATGGCGGTCTTGCTAAGTTGCCCAGGTGGCCTTGAGCTAGTGATCTTCCTGTGTCTGCCTCCTAAATAGCTGAAACTACAGATGCTACAGTACCAAGCTGAAGTCTTACTGATTTCAGTATCACTTGAATGTGCCAAACCTGTTGAGGAGATTCTTTAACAAAGAGATGACACGAGGTTAATGAGTTGATGGCTCTGGAACATGTTCTGGAAAGGGCACACAGATCAATGGAAGGAGCCCTGTGAGATTTCCCCAAAAGTGGGGCTGTTTCTTTTTAAAGTCCAGTTGCTTTAAACTGTTTGATAGGAAGTAACAGAAACAGTATCCCAGTGTATTTTTCTTCTTGTTTTATTGCCAAACAGCAGGTATCTTTCTTATTTGGAAAACTTTTTGGAAAACAATTAATTTTTTGAAAAATTAGTTCTTTGAACATACTAATTTTAAAAATGTTTGTGCTCTTCTATAAGAAATATTTTAAGTGAAGAAAAGGTCTCTAACATCACAAGGAGTCGTCACTGACACTACCAAGAGGCAGCAGTGGGGAGTGAGCAACCACGGGCTTGCACGTCAGCAGACTTGGTTCAGAGCTGAGGCGCCTACTCCCCTGCAAGGAAGAGGTGGAAAACTATGGGGACTGCCAGTCTTAGTTGCTTGGCCCTTGGATCCTTAATTTTCCTATTCTGCCTAGTGCTAAGTTTCTATGACAACCCACATCTATCCTTTTAGCACTGACCACAAGCATCCTCTCCACCAGCCACTCTGGGTGGAACTGGAGAAAGGCGATGTGGCTAAGGATGAGCTCAAGGTGGGTAAACCTGCATGCATTCCCTATGCTGCCAAAGACAAGCTTGATTCAGACTCTTCTTAAGGACTATTGTTTTTCCTGCCCAGAATCCATTGTTTTTCTCTATTGGACAAATGAGACTCTTCCATTGTTAGTCTGAAGCTGATTTTCTTCAAGCTCCAAGGGTACTCATGAAGCCAGGTTTGAGCCAACCAGCAGCTGGCTACGATGCCTAGTTTAGGGGTGGGTACTAGACACAATATTGCTAATGACAGGGTCTGGACCTTAGGTGGATCCGTTGGAACAAAAGAAGCATATTCTTCTTCTAGGGTTAGGAACCCACAGCCACTGGCAGCCATTTTATCACGTGGAGAACAAACTCACCTACAAATGTTGCCAGAGGAAGGACACCTGATTCATGGCTCCAGACTGGATTATGGTCACATTATTTGAGTTATCAAATCATTGAAAAGATTTTCCTGTATTGAATCCAAATCTATACCAATGAAATTTCCATCAGTATTTTGCTTCCAGACCAATATATACAGAGGCCACCCCAGAGCTGGCTGCCATCCCGAGGTCCACACCCCTTGCTCTGTGGCACTGGAGGACCCTTCCACTGTAACTCAATTTCTTTCTGAAACATATGAATTATCACTTCACAGCTTGGTTTTGTCTGTCACTGATCTCTTTTGCCTTTTGAATTCCTTCTGTCTCTGATCTTGATTAGGTAGGTTTAATGATGCTTAATAACACTTTTCATTTTTCTGTCTCTGTTTATAATCCCTACTGCAGTCACCATAGATTATGCCCTTATTTTTTTGGTCTCGACTGTAAATAATTTACCATGTTTATTTAGTCCTGTGACTCCCTTCTCACTTTACTACTGCCAGAATAATCTGTGTGAACTGCCGTAAAGATGCTATCCTACCCCAAGGCCCCAAATAATTTTCTAGGTCTTACTAAATTAACCGTAACATCCAAGGACCCTTACACTTGTCCCTCTCCCTCAGTGTAATTAATCTTACCTTCCATCACACCCTACTCCTCACTCTGGTAAGGGCCTCTGCCCACTCTAGCCTTGCACATCACCGTCCTATAGACATGCCTTGTGCATTCCTGTCCCTCAACCTTGATAGCCGTCATTCTTCCTCTACTCCAGTCTGGTCTTTAAAACCTAAGTCGAATTCTTCTTGCTTTACTAGTCAAGAATGATACTATCTGGTTGACATCTAGTGACACACAAGCACATTATAATTTCAGAAGCAAAAGATTTTCACTGTTTTACTGGGATGATCATTATATATCTACAGACCTCAGAGTAGGGAGGGAAAGTAAAGCTCACCCTGAATATTTTATTGTAGATGGCTGGGAAGAATTGGGTTAAGAAGACACCTCCAAAGAGTAACCTAAGTATATTCATCACAGATGAAGAAAAACAAGGTAATTAACTCATCTACACCTGCCAACTTTAATTCAGAGTCAAGAATAAAGCTCTCCCAAATTCAATCTATCTAAAACCTACTGTCCTTCAAAGGCTCACTTCAGTGTCCTACCTGAAACCTACCCTGAAGCCTGTCCTAAAGCTCCAGTGCTCTCTGTTGTTTTTAACTCAGTGTTTGCATCTGCACCTCTCACATAGTGCTTACCATATGCTGTGACTGCCGTCTGCAGTTGATCACTGCACATTTCTTTTGTATATGTCTGGAGAGCAAAGAATCCCATTACCATGGGATTAAGTGGGACTTCAAAGATGCATTTCTTCTCCATTCTTTCCTCTGCTTGTTCCTGGAGCCCCTTTCCAGGGATTGGCTAATTCGTGGACAAGCACAGGCTAAGCTTATCTTGGGACACGTGGGTCCTGCTCTGGGACAGGAAGATGCTTCTGGAGAAGCTTTCAGAGATAGAAGGCCTCATGAAAGTGAGTGAGTTAGCTTTGATGGAAGGGGTTTCCACCTGGAAACTGTGTGAGTAGAAAAGAATATTTTGGTGTTTATTTTATGGCAAATTGCTCTGCTTTCTTTCTGTCACAAAATCTAAATCTTGTCTCAGTGTTGGAAGCCCTCTGGAGAGTCTGGGCCTCAGTTCAGAGCCAGGCATGAATATTAATTATAGTAATTTTCTTGGGCAAGCTGAATTGGGCATGAATATATAATATAATTCTGACAATAAACTGCAAGGGGAAATGTGTTTTTGAGGAAGTTCTGGAAACAATGGTTCTATTCATCCCTAGAAAGGGCTATATGAAATGGCACTTCTTTGTCTTCTTGGATGTTGCTGTATGGGGATGTGTACTCTGTGAGGGCTCACCAGGTCATATTTGAATGAGGAGGGGAGATATCTGACATCCTGCTGAGAGCAGCAGAGCAGAGACAGTGAAGGAAGCAGGGACCTTGGTGGCTTTGTTGAGTCCTGAGCAAAGTCTGAAAATGCCCCATCTGCAGACTTCCATCAATTTAGAGTTTTCTTTTTAAAAATATTTTAGCAATTCTGGAATTAGGATTCATATTTTATGGTATGTCATAATTAAATTGGCAGCATGCTTTCTTTTCTTTTTTTAAAAATCATTTCTATTTAATGGTACGATCTAGTACACAAAGTGATCACATCCATCATAGGGGATTTCTACCTATACATGACTTCTTTTTTAATGTTATCTAAATAGGCATTTTTACAAACTACTGCATCTAAGATTTCATGAACTATAGGATGTTCTTATTACTATCCATCTTCATCTTTAGGAGGTTTTCTGCTACTTTCCTCTAACATATCCTGATACAGCTGTTCTCATAGAGTGATGCTGAGCAGAAAGGATGTTGGGAAGGAAAAGGATCCAGTGCTGAGCTGGTCATGTGAGGACTACAGTTCTCAGTGGGGGCTGGATTCTGTCCCAGGGAAGAGATCCCACTGTTTTTGGGACCTGGAGCCAATGATCTGTAGCTCCCTTCTTCTTCTCAGACATGGAGAACACAGCAAATGATGCTTACTCTATGACCAGAGCAGTTCTTTAAATAGGGAGTAAGGCAGGGGCGTTGCCAACACTGACAGTGCTCTCAGGCTTTGTGAAATCTAGAGTCCAGCATCACTTAGCTAGAGAGTACGAAAAGGCCACAGGAGAGATTCAGAAGTAGTCAAGGGAATTAAAACCAGGACAACAATGCCAGCCCCTTCCACCAACCTGTCTTCTCTTAGGGCAGCCTTCCTGTCCCCTCTCTTTAGACCCCTCTCTCTTGTGCTTCCATTCTCTTTTCTCCTCCCCAGCTCTCTGCAGTCCCACTACAGGAACTGAGATTAGCATCTCCAAATCTTGAGTCATCTCTTCATTTTGAGTTACAATCCCTCCCACCACAAAATAAAATCCTGAGCTGGCAGGGGTCATGTTCCCCTGGGTAGAGTAGTAAATAACAGATTTATGTGTACTCACTTGACTCAGCATGAAAAGGGAGTTTTCTTGCTCTTTGAAATGAATTTTATTTACATTTCCTGGAGACCTTTTCTCTGTAGCATAAGAGGCCAGTCTCACCTGCTGGCCTTGCTTGATCTTGGAAAATGGAACAGGCAAAGCAAGGGAGATTAAGTAAGAGTCTCTCACCTTCTTTGCCTGGGCACATCCCAAAAAGTGTCTAGGGGCTCAAGTGTTGCTCTTTCTGACTCTGTCCCTGCCCCTGATGCCTCCCCTACCCATCAAAATCTAAGCTCCATTTTTATTCTGAGCCGAGGGGCAGCCCTACCTGAGCTAAAGCTCAGGGAAGCTGAAGTCACTCACCCACATAGAAATACTCTGGGGACTTGTCCTCTGATGATAAATCCTTTATGGTGCCTCCAAACCGAAACCATAGTCCAAATACAATGACGGCTGACCCGGCCAGCTGCAAGGTAAAGATACCACATTTACAAGGGGAGGGAGAGAGTACATAGACCCATGCAGGTTTGGGCAAGTAAACTCTGGCTGGGAGAAGTTGCTCCTGTGGAAATCATGTAGCCTGGTAATGGCAAACTTTTAGAACATTCAATATGAACAGCCCACTGTGGCATGTGTGTCCTAGGTTCACCACTAACCTAGTCCGTCTTGGATTACAGGGGAGGAAACCAAGGGTTAAAGAGGTGGGAGAGTTTCTGCAGGGCCCTGTGTGATGGCCACGTTGGGCTTTGGGTTGTTCATGCTGCCAGACTGCCATATGGTTGTAGGGCATATGCAGCCTGGCCCTGGTGCACCTCAAAAACACTGTTCCGACATCATTTCCCTGGCCACATCTGCTCCCTGCCTATTGTTCCTTTCTAGGCATACTGGGCCTCTAGGCAACTGATTTTGAGGTGCCAGGTCATTAAGGGCCTTTCTAAATTAGAAAAATTATGACAACCTCAAAACCCACCCACATCTCCTGATGCATGGTCTCCAATTAGAATGCTGGTGCAGTGGTGTCTGTTACCCACCTCCCTCCATGGTTATTGCCTGAGTGTAGTTTTGCAGGCAGGGAAGGAGTCTGATCTTGTCTCCCCCCCCCCCCCTTTCTGGTTGCTATTTTGAATTTCCATGGAAAGCAAGAAAGGAAAAAATAATTTTCTGAAAAAGCCTGGTCTGTGTGCTGTGTGGCTCAGGGAGAGGCTGAATGGCTGGCACAGGCAGTGCCTGGGCAGGTTGGCGGCTGGTAGAGTCATCACGGGCTCCTTCTCTTCTGCCCCTAAGAATGTTGTGGGACTCAGCATCAAAGCTGGAAGCCCTTTCTGCCACTGCAGGTCTGTCACAACCATATGCCAGCAAGCAGGCTCTGGGCACAGTGTTCTCTTTCCACAAATATTACTCTCAAATTTCACTGTATCAGTCCATCACCAGATATTTACTAGGTACCTTCTAGGTGCCAGGATTGATGGAAAAATAAGCAGAAAAGTAAAATAGCCTCCTGCTTCTGCCAATTCATCCAGTTACTGTCCCAACTTATCACCAGATGAGCACTTTAGAGTCTGCCCCTGCCTGAACAGGAAAGAACACACATAGATGCTGGCAATAGGAAGACAGGATGGAAATCAGAGAAGTAGAGGTTTAATAAGAAAAAGTCCAAGTCAGGATTAGACCAGAGTCCTTTCAACATGGACTCCTTCTTCCTTGTGGGGCAGCTTATACAGGATCTGGTACCACGCTTTAGGGATATCTGGCTATGTTCCTATGAGAACTTTATCCTCCTTCACCTTCTGTCTCCCAAGGCCAACTCCCTCTGGGACTGGCTGACACAAATGCTGTGTGACTTCTTCAGTGAAAAGGAGTTAAAGGGGCTGAGCTCTACCAGCTGGACTCTCCATGTGACTAACAAACAATTTCCAGTCTGCAGAGGAAAGTACTAATTGGATAATGTGAAGAGCAGCTACAGGAACTGGGCTCAATCAACTTTTAAAAGACTCTTACATTTTAAAAAAAGACTTCCTTGGAATGGAAAGGGAGTCATGCTGAGACATTAATAATATTAATCTTTGAAAGGTGGGGTTACCAATGACTTTTTTTCTTACTATATTTTCTAAATTTTCAGAATTAAGCACATATTGCTCTTTAAACCTTAACACTTTTTTTTTTTTAAAGCATTACATGGTAGTTTTTAACGTTCATTTTGGGAAAAAAGTGTGGAGAGTCTTCTTGGGTTATACTTTAGCTTGGGAGGAAATCAGCTTTGGGGTTCTTGATGTTGCTGTGTTAGTCCTCAGTCAAATGCCATCCCCAACAGCACTGGGGGTCACCTGGGACAAGTCTGTACAGAAAAGCTGCATAAGCAACTTAGCAACTCTGTGGTGACTTGACGGAAAGGCAGAGTTTCCAAATACAAAGCAGAATCTATTGACAGAGGCACCGGGCCAAAGCCAGCAGCCACCAAGCAGACTGTGGAGGAGGTGACTGGTCCTAGGGACACCCTACCATGAGGCCACATTTTTGGAATCTCTGCACACGAACTCTAATTTACAGCCGTCTGGGATCTTCCTTCCAGACGGAATACATTTGTCCAGTTTGGCATAGATGTGTTTGATGCATAATGGAAAATTAAAAGAGAAGTTGCAATTTAAAGCTATCAGGCAACTGGGAAAAAATCTACACTTACTGGGCCGCACCCCTAACCCCAAACCACAAGGGTTTCCTCCTAGGTCAAGGAAACTGTGGTTTAGCTGAATGTCATCACTGTGTGGAAGGGAATCCTCCCAGCATGCTGCTGGCTGTGCTGGGGCTGTGTGGGTGAGGACCGGGGCCACTGTGATGAGAAGCAGAGCCATCAATCGTTTTGCTCTCACCTATCCTGTAAGGCTCACAATGTGCTCTGTGTTCCTTGGACTTTGGCTGGTCTGCTATGCACTAGAAATTTCTTGAGAAAGATTCACATCAACCCTATGCCAGTCAGGAACAAGTTGAGTAACTCTAGCGGTACTAAATTCACACTACTCTTGCCTTCCGTAAGGCCAGTAGAGCTGGTCTTCCTAGTCCACTGAGAGAAGCCTGGCTAATCCTAATTTTAACCGTACTAGGCCAAAGGTCCCCTATCCTTTAATTACCTCCTATAATCTCAGTCCTTTTTATGCACACAGACACATGTGCACCTCAGTCAAATTTAAAACAAATAGGAACGAGAAGCTGCCCATTTCTCTCACTTTCCTTCTCTTATCCCCAACCCTCATCTTTCATTTCCTTCTCGTCTTTCTTCCCTGAATGCTTAGTAAAAATTAGATAGTATGTGTCCAAACATCAAGGCAACAATGATGAAACAGGCAGAACTCCTAGTCCAACAGAGACGATAATCATATAAAATAATCACTGTAATAGGAAGCAGGCAGCGTGCTGAGGAGGAAGACTATGCGCACTGCCAGCAGATCTAGGAAAGTTCTGCCACCATCATGGGGCAGTCATAAAGAGACAGAGGGAGAGAAAGGTCCAGTTGGACATCTGTGCACAGGGAAGAACTTTACTTTCTTACCTAAATGTTGTGTTGAAGAAAGAGAGCAGTCTGGGGAGGTGAGTTTGGACTTGAGTGAGAGCTGGGGCAGCTATGACTCATGGCTTCCACTTAGCTTACTACCCCATCTTGGAGAGCTCACAGCAAGGCCTTGGTGGGAAGGGAAATTTCTTATTAATGGGAACAATCAGGAGCAAAATGTTGCCTGGTGCCTGACATAGGAAGGGGCCAAAGATAACAGCCTTAGTTGACCTAGGACCAGAGAAAATACGAGGGAGGGGACTCTGTGGAGCGCCATGTGAATCAGTAAGAATTGTGGCGCCAACCAAGAAACTGCTGAGGGCTGTCCTGCGTCAAAGACCAGTGCTACTCTCTGTGCTTCCAGAAAAATTACAACCAGACACATTGTTCTTTTTGCCAGACAACAGCATAAATTGGGCCTTGATGTTAGTCATTAAAAAAAATAAAATGTTTATTGAGCATGCATCATGAGCCATGAGCAAAGGATTCAGAGACATGGAAGAGCCAGAGGTTCTCAGGGGCTTATAGAGAAGCCACTGAATGAATGGCCTAGGAAGGAACCCAGTGCTACAGGTGAAGATTTAATCCTAGAACCAGCCCACTAGAATTTGACAGGACACCTTATAGTGTCACTCCTGTAGGCATCATTCCTTTTCCAAGGACCAGCCATATACGAGGACTCAGAAAATATGACAAAATAGGGCCTTAAGGGCAAAAGTGTGTCTATTGCTTAAAAAGAAAAGACATGAAAGGACAGGGAGACAGAGAGGGAGCAAGGAGGAGGAGGAAGAAGAGGAAAAGAATGCTGTAAAAGAAATTGCAACATATAAATCTGTGTCATTACATACAGGGTAACTGGATTCTCAGGGGCAAGTTATTTCAGTGGCTAACTATATTCCAGAGAGTTTGCAGGACAAAATACTGCAAATTGTATGCATATGTCCTTAGAGAAGACAGTTTGTGGTCTAAAACTAAAGAAGCTGAAGAAAAGACCAAAGTCTTAAGTTGAAACATTTTAAAGCAAAGTGGATGGGCAAAGAGTTTCGTTTAAGTAACAACTATCTATCAAAACCAAGCCATTTAGCATCAAGCAATGCTCACTTATAGATTTCAATTTTAGTTTTCTGCATTTATTTCTACATTCTTGGATTGCTAATGAAATGTCTTATCTTGACATATTTTTTCACTTTAAAAAAGAGGCTTTATGAATTTGCAGACACGGTCCCTAGAAAGGCATCAGTCTAGCTGGAGGGGGTTATGCAGACCACAGAGCTGGCTTCCAGCTGCAGCCCTCTCTACCCAGACACTGGCCATTGGGATCACAAAGAGCAATGCATGCTACTTTAGTGTCTAGTGGCAAAACCCGGCAGAGTGCCTCTTTTCTGGGTCAAAAGTATCCCCAGGAAAGTTCTAGAAGCGTCTGTTTATATATCTAAGGGGGAGAAAAAGGGATTGTGCTCAAGGGTCTTGGGCACTGTTTCAGTTCCATCTCCCTCTTACAGGCTGCTGCTCCCAATGCTCTCAGGGCCAGACTGCTCCCCTTGCCATCTACCGTCAGGCTGACACCCACTCACAGCTCTCAGCTCTAAGGTTACTTCCTTGACAATGATTACTTTGTCCTAGATATGTGCCTGCCTTCATAGCTCACATAACCATTTCTACTTAAACATTTCTGTGGTTTCCTTCCTCAGCTTGAGCTCTGTGAGGGCTGGGACTGGGTCTGTGTTGCTATCTTCTAAATACCTTCTGCTGTGCCTTGTGGATATTTGTTAAATGAAGGCATGGAAGACCTACAGAAAGGTACCAATGAAGCTATGCTATGGTCCAGAATGGTGTCCTCTCTAACCCCAAATTCACATACTGAAATCCTTCCTCCCAGTGAGATGGTACTAGGTGAGGCCATTGGGAGACAATCAGATGAG